GAGATCATGACTTAGTTGGAAACCTTGGAGACTTTTGAAGATCTTCTTGTGAGTAGCTGGATTGCACACAGTTATCACAGTGATTCTTGTGATAACTGATTGCAAGACAAAGTACAACAACAGCTGCAAGTATCAGTGTCTCCCATTACAGTGAATACTGGAAGCTAAGATCAAGGCAACGTGGAGAAGCCATACACCAGTGAAGAAATACTCCAACCTGTCCAAACCAGAGGCTCTGCAGGGTGCCAAGAGACTCCTCAGAGCTCTGGCCTGCTGCCTCAAGAGACGCGCAGGAGAATCACAGCCAGGACAACAAACACAATGTTCTCCACTCCAACATCAAGGATGATTTCTCAGTGGCAGCGAAACATCGTGAGAGTTAAGACTGAACAACACAGGAAAAGCAAACGGGAGAAACAGGAATCGCCACGGCAATCTCCCAGAGCAACTGGATTGTCAAGCACCACGATCTGATCTAACGCACCTATCCGGCTTTAAAAAATACTCTCAGCTCCCAATGAACACTAGGCCGCACAGATGAACCAAACTGAGTGGTTGGCCCAAGGTTGAACAATCTTGATCATGACTGGCCAATAAAAAAGGGCGATCCCGTCCAACTACTCATCAATAATCTGTCTCTGTATTACAATGAAGCGCCTGTCAGCATATAAAGCTGCAAATATAAGCGGCCGCATGTCTTCAACAGACTTAAGGAGGAAATGGAGAGGTTTCAGTGGTGCTAGTGATGAATGGGCAAGACAAAAACCTGAAATGACCCCAATGTATGATGTAAATCTCAAGTTTCCATCCTTCCTCAGTACAACATGATTCCTTTTGTGAAGTCAGATTCCCATTTTGAAATTAAACACATATTTAGGTAGTTTCCAGTTTCCAGGTTTGGATAAGCCATGTGCCATATTCTTAAATGTCTTACATGTAACTTTATTTGTCTTTTCTTGCTATGTTTCCCTTTCAAACACTCAGACTTTCGGGTTATCTTTTAAAGTCACAACATCTTTGTCGATCAGGAAATCTGAAGTTCAGTCATCCCAGAGCATATGAGAGTCTGATGATGCCCAGCAACTAAATGACAGTTTACAATTTCATATTCATTTTAAATTCATGTAAAATCCGGTAGAGAACTGGTACAACACGTCCTGTGTTTCTGTGCTGGGCAAAGCCTCCAATGTTTCATGGATCCCAGCTGGGAATCTGCTGTCGCGCTCCTATATCTCCAGACATATATGAACCTCGACAGAAAGGTGCATCAAGTCATAAATCAGGGGCTGACGACAGTTTTTGTGAGTCAGAGTGACACACACAAATGTGCAGCTGTAATCTGCGGAGCGGGGGTCTGCGAGGGAGGGGGAGGAGGAGGAGGTCCTGGGAGGAAGAGCCAACAAGGAAAGCGCTGCTGCGCCGCCTGGCCTGCCTGCCTGCAGCGAGCTTTCTCCAGATAGGATTGGCTCCCTCGCTTTCCCTCTCCTCCGTCTCCTCCCTTCTTTCTCTCCCAAACTCTCATACGCACCAGTCCTCTCCAACTCTCCGACACAGCACGGCGAAAAGACGGAAGGGAAGACCGAGGAGGAGACGCCGCGGCAAACTTTTTCGGACCAACGGGAAACTTCCGAGGATGGCAAACGTGGCAGTTTTGCAGGCGGACCACCTGGATACGCGAAGGGAGTAACTTTTGTCTCTTTCCTAAAGAAGAAAACAGAAATCAGGACGCGCTTCTTCTACTTCTCCTTCTTCTTCTTCTCCTTCTCCTTCTGCTGTGTTTTTTTTTTTTTTTTTTTTTTTTGGGTCCCCCCTGTTGGGACCTCAAAGTTCCCCCCTGGAAAAACACACGGGAGTC